CCATCCATCCATCCATCCACCCATCCACCCACCCATCCATCCATCCATCCATCCATCTATCTATCCATCCATGTATCCATCCATCCACCCACTCACCCTTCCTCCACCCCTCCATCTATCCATTTACTTATCCATTCCTCACCCATCCATCGACGTGGTAAAGGCCCTGGAAGGAGCACTTGGCAGGGAGGAGGCTGGAGTCATGTTGTGGGTCAGGAAGCCCAGTGTAATGCAATGTTGATGAGGGTGGAGGAAGTGAACTGGCAGTCTGGGAGCCGGGCCTCAGAAGAGCTCCCTTTCCTGAGGCCTTAGAGAAATGGAGCGGGGGACCAAAGGAATAGCTTTACACTTCCGGAACCGATCGTGGGCTTTGAAGGGATAAAGGAAGTGTGATATTGAGCAATGCCGTGATTGGGAAATCCTGTTTCATCTCCTGGGTGGTAGAGCAGTTTCCAAAACATGTATCTATTTATACTTTAGAAATACTCAGAGGACAGGGGCCCTTCGTGATCGAGAAGTCTGGCTTCTGCCAGGCTGGGGGGGCCAGCTCAGCCGTGGGAAGTTGATGAGGCGGAAGGGCATGGGACCCCGCTCCTGCTGTCCCCCCCGGGTGGGCACCCCTCCCCGTTTAGGGAACAGGGCTTTGTGGTGGGATTGGCTGCAGTTTCTGTCCTGCCTGGGCCCAGTCTTATATAAGGGGGTGTCATATGTCCTGAGGGTCAGTGCCATGAAGACCACTGTGTGCTCTGGAGACAAGTGACAATCTCTCCTGACAATCAGAGGTACCCCACTAGCATCGCTCAGACCTTTCCAACCTGGAGCATCGGAGAACTCTGGACCCTGGCTGCCCACAGAAGGCAGGGTGGGGGTGCCAGTGCCCTAGGGCATCCTCCAGAGGCCTCACCACATCCTCCTGGCGGTAGAAGCGTGGTCCAGAGCTTGTGGACTTGGCCCCGCTGGAGGGCCGGTGGGTGGGTCTGAGCTCTGGGGGAGAGGTAGTTTGTGAGCATGGTCTTTGGGGAGAGGGGTCAGTGAGTGTTTGGGTGTGGCCTCCAGGGGAAAGCCCTGGCTGGGATGTCCAGGATAGGCTGCCAGCTGGTGTGGCTGGGGTCCAGGGGGCCTTTGATGGAAGTGGCCTTTAGGAGGGTCTGTGGGTGGATGTAGCCCACGTAGGGCAGGGACCTAGGTAGGTGTTGCCCCTTGGAGAGTTCTATGGTGGACATGGCTCCAAGGGGCGGGTCTGAGTGGCACAGACACTTAGGTGTCTTGGGGGAGGACTGGTCACCGTGAGTGTTGCCTCCTCTGTGGGGATGTGGCTGCAGCCCCCACTGGGCTGTGGGTGGCAGCCACCTCAATGGCTGTCTCCTTTTGGCCCCCACAGTACACCAGCTCATGGTGACCACTGCCTGCCATGACGCCGGCCATGGCTCCTTCATCCGTGAGAGGTGCCTCCGGCAGTTCCAGGAAGACATGGAGACCCTGGGCCAAAGCCTCTGGTGCGACTGGGGCAGGACCATCAGGTGAGGCCTGTGTCACTGGTGTTGGGGGAAGGGGAAAGTGGCACCCCCATCCCCTGTGCACCTGGCTCAGTTGCAGCTCGCCTCTTTAAACCAAGGGTTGCAGGTGGTTGGGAGGGCTGTACACCCACAGAGGTGAAGATGGGGCCTGTACAGGGCCCTGAGGAGCAGAGGGGGGCCGCTCTAAGACCTGAGGAGGTTGGGATAACTCAGACCACCACCTAATCTGGAGGGCTCGAGGCCCTGTGCCCAGCACCCCACTCTTCAGGAATGTCTCCACCCCCGAAAATTCCAGTCTGGCAATGATGGGGACAGTGATGATTGGGGGCCCAGGATGCACACCAAGCATGAAACCCCCAGACTCGTCCCTGTGCCCCTTTGATCCCGTCGATACCCTGACACCCAGGGGCTGCCTTGGAGCCTAGGCCCCCACATATGAAACAGTCCCTTCAGACTTCAGGAGTGAAGCTGGCCCAACCAGCAGGGATCTAAACACGGTGTCCCAACACTTGGGATCCTCATATTGTGTCTGCGTTGTGACAGGCCAGCGCACCCTGGGGCATCAGTGAGGGGGGCAGGGAAGGGAAGTGCCTAGAAAACCCTCAGGCGGGGGACAGGGTCTCAGGATCCCCCAGGGCCATGTGGGGGCCAGGGTTTGTGGGGACATGGTGAGCTCACATAGTGACCTCAGATGGAACAGAACAGAGCCCGTCCAGTGCTGCGCTGTCCTCATGTCACCACTGGCCTCGGGCCCCTTTTTACAGCCACGGGGCCGGTCCATCTCGCCGGGTTGTCCTCTCTTTCCTGACTTCTGCCTTTCCACATCGGGTGTCCTGGTTTTCTCTCCCTCACGTGGCTGTTGGCTTGGCGCTGGCTCTCAGCGGGCGCTCCAGGGGTCTCGGGCTGTAAGCGGCTTGGGAGGAGAGTGTCCTTCCTCCCCCGGAGCAGTGGGTGGATTTGAACTGTCAGCGGCTCGGCCTCTGGTTTAGCTGTGCTGCTCCCTACGGACTGTGCCGCCAGCGCTCGGGAATTCCCAACTGTCCACTACTTACTAGTAAGTAAGCACCAGTCCGCCTGTGCCTTGACTGGGTTGGGGACAGTGACAGGATAACCAGCAATGTCATTGTCCACCTGCCATTGGTTACAGAGGCTCCCCTGCCCCCCATCAGGAAGCAGAGGAGAGTGTCATTCATTTATATCACCTGCGCAGGTGGGGAAGGGGTTTCCCTCACACCCACCGCCCGTCAGCGTCCTGGGTACTCGTCTCTGGCCCCCACCCCGACATGGTCACGTGCATGGGCCTCACGTCAGGTGGGGAACTCCTCCCCCATTCTCTTCTGCGGGACTCGGGGGGCCCTCAGATATTTTTGGTGCTCATTTCCTCAACTGAGCACAAAATCACTCAGGAGGCAGAAATGGCGGGGGCTAGGGATGGGAGATCTGGTGGCCTCATCGTACGGAGTTTTGCCAGCCCGAAGGTACGTGGTTTGAATCCACCAGCTGCTCCGCAGGAGAAAGACGGGGAATCTCCTGTGTGATTTACCGCCTCTGAAAACCCAGTGGAGGATCAGTACACAACACCACCAACAGGGGATGGGGCAGATCATTAACCATCAGATCAGCCTGTTCTCCTAGCTCACTGGCGGAGAAATTTGTATTTAAATGAAAAATCACATCCGATGGGATCCAAGGCAGACACTGGAGATGTCCCCCAGAGAAGCAGCGTCCCAGCCCCATCTCCGAGGTCCCTGCTTTGTCCAGTTCCCTCCACCAGGCAGGCAGCTCTGGGAACTCTGGCACCATAGCCGTGGTCACCCCCACGGACCGCCCAGCCATGGTCAAGGCAAAAACGGGAGTTTAAGGTCTGCCAGCTCTTGAGTTCACGGGAGAGCTGCAAAGATGAGCAAAGGTGGGGCTGCTAGGAGTCTCAGTGAAAAAGAGAATCCAAAACATTTAATGAACAAGCAGCAGAACATTAAGCCGCACTGGGCCGTCGACTCGGGCCTCCCCTGCCCCCAGATCCCGGGAACAAGTGAATGCATCAGGTTACCTGCAGAGGGGCCTGGAGGTGCTCCCAATTCCGAGAGACTGACCCTGGAGACCGAGTAGGGGCTGCCCCAGGGGGTCTCCCAGGCTGTGGTGGGGACAGGAGCAGACTGCCAGGTCTTTCTGCTGAGGACCTGGGGTGGCTCAGAACTGCCGACCTTGTGGTTACTTGTTGCACAGCCAGAGCTGCCTCAGACAGAACTGAGAGTGAGGACCTCTGCCCTTAGGGGTTGGGGTGAGTCGGGTGTGCTCTGTGGGCCTGATGTGGTCCCCGCTTCTTGAGAGGAGGGAAAGGAGGGGACGGAGAGTCAGGGTGACTGGGTGAGATGACTTAACCCAGTTGTTGGCTGTAAAGATGGAGGAAGGGACCATGAAGGAAGCAATGCAGTCTGAGGCCTCTGTTGTCCTCCAAGTTCCTGGGGTGGATTCTGACGCCCAGTGACCCCAGGTGATGAAGTAGAACTCCCCCGTTGGGGTGCAAGGCTGTGATCTTTCCCTAAACAGACACCTTCAACTTCCTCTCCCCGAGTAACTGGTGGTTTCAAACCACAGACCTGTCAGTCAGCTACAGTGGGGCGAGCCAGTAGCCTGAGTTGGGCCTGGAGCTGCCCAGCTGTGCCTGTGTGAGGTCAGAACTGGCCGGGGGGCTGGCCGGGCCTGCACGGCGCTCTGCTCAGAAAAGCCTCCGGCTGGGTCTGCAATTGGAGGAGACTGGTCTAACAACAGCTGGCGGTCAGAGTGGACTTACCGTCCCTCTAAGTGACAAGGACATGTGTACCAGTACCTTCCAGGAGACACAGAATTGGTGGGATGGGGCCCCATGGGCCTCCTAGACTGACATTTGCAGACAGAAGAGAGGGGCCCAGCACTGCACCCCCATTGGCCCTGGAAAGAGGCACTGAGGGGTACAGAGAGCGCTTGATGTCCTCCTGGGTGTGCCAGCTGGGGATGGAAGCTTCCGGAGGAAGCCTGAGGGCTCAGATTCCAGATTCCAAGAGGCCGGCACTGGCAGAGGCCTGCATCTCCTGAGGGTGTGCACGGGGCCCGGGCGGAGTGCCCTGTAAGCAGGGCATCACGTGTGCAGTGGTGTCTGCTCACCAGCCCGCAGTGCAGTCTCCCTTCCCCCTCCCTCCACTGGGTCAGAGACGTGGCCAGACTCACGTGTGTACGTGTGTGTGTGCACACCCCAAGCCCACACAGTCAGCCTCTTGTGCCTTGCTTAACTCAAGCTGCTGTACCACTGCCGGCCAGCCCCAGCGCGCCTGTGATTACAAGGCCCCATCACCCAGCTGCCCGGGCCAGAGCTGCACTCACACGAACACAGCAGGTCAGCGGCTCAGCTGGACGCCAAGTCCTCCGAGCCCCCCACTTCCTTTGTGGTCAGATAGGTCCCACTGAGTCCATCAGTCATGAGAATGGCCCCGGGGAGGCCTCCTTTCCCATGGAGAAGGGTGGGTTTGCCTTCGAGGGTCAGCAGGTGCCAGGCTGTGTTCCGTGTTCAGTCTCTGCCCAGTCGCTGCGTGAGGAGGCCTTACCCTCCCTCGTTAGATGCCATCGCGTCCATCTCAGGACAGACGACACTACGTACGAGGGGAGAGACCACTGCCCAGTCCTGTACTGTCCTCACAGCTTTTGTGGTGCTGATGCCACTGTTGTGTCCATCTTGGGAAGGGTCTTTTCCCTTTTCACTGACCCTCCCCGCTACTACACACAGTGTCCTTCCCCAGTACTCGGCCTCTTCTGATGACGAGTCCAGGGTAATGAGACTCGGTCTCCCCATCCTTCCTTGAAGTAGCACGCCAAGGGCACGTCCTCCAGTCCTGTGATTTGTGGATTCTTGACCACCGTGTTCCATGTCCTCTTCCAATACCACAATCCAACCGCCCTTCGTCCACCGGAGCTCTGTCGCACTGTAGCTCTGCTTCGCTAATGGAACTTAATGTAATCTGATGTACTTAGTGGGGATATAATCTAATTTTGGAAGACAGAGCATGGAAAAATGTCATGAGAACTCTGGTTTCAGAGACCTCCTTGTGGGCGTTGGAGGGGATGAGAAAGGAGACGCATTCCAGAGTGAGCCACAACTCTCTCGGCTGGAAACTGGTTGCCTCTATAGTGACCCTGTTGAATTTTCTCACCAAGACGGGAAACACCAGGTTGAGTCAAGTGCCAAAAAGCTACTTCTTCACAGCTGTGGTGTCCAAGAACCCTGAGGCAGTGAACGGTGTCGGGTGGCTCAGGGGAAGGGGTGCCTCAGTGGTCAGTTTGACTTGCACACCAGCAAAGATCTCCTCTGCCCTATAGCTATGGGCTTGGGATGTTACCTCTGAGACTGTTAGCCAGGCCTGAGAAATCCTTGACCACTGCCCTGTTTGCAGTAAAGCTGTCCTCCCTGTCTCCTAGTCCTCCACTCTATAGGGATGCAAGAGGACAGAGCACTGCCTGCGCGTCTGCTGGGCCCTATAGTCCTCTTCCAAGGGCGTTTTTCCTGAGAATTGTCCCAGACCCGGCTCAACTCTGTCCAACCTAGTCCCTTTACTGTGTCACATCCACCTTGGTCAGAGGAGGAGGAGGAAGAGGAAGGGGTGGTGTGCAACTTTATGAGGATTGTTGGGGGCTTCCTTCAACCCCATATCATGCTCATGGGTTTTGGCTCCTTGGTTTGGAAGTTTAAGGTCATAGGTTCATGGGACATTGCAGTTCATTGGCCCTGTGACATGCTCGGTGCTTCTGCTCTGTCTCCTAGTTTGTCGTAGTGCTTGGGGTCTTGACGCTTTTGAGAAGCCTGCAGAGCAAAACTTTGATGTGTATTTGCTTGGAGAAACAAGAGGAGGAGGAGAGTCAGAAAAAGGAGGAAGATAAGCAATGTGTGGCCGATTGCCTCCAGAACACCTGCCTCCTTTGCCTTGAGACCAGAACTGGATGGTGCCCAGGTACCATGACTGAACATTTTGAAC